CCTCTCCGGCGCTTGCGTCGGCCACCAGATGGCCAAGATGACCTCCGAGACGGCTTCCAAAACCGCCGAACCGACACCAAGACGGCCCAAGATAGCCATTGACGGCTCAAAGAGCTCCCCTGCCAGCCTGAACACGGCCCACGATCGCCCCAAGACGGCCAACAATAATTCCAAAACGCCCTGCAGGCAAGCCCGATGAGGCAAACACCATTGACCTTCTTGTGATTTTGGCCATTCTGTGAGGCCGTCGCTTGCTTTGGTGTTCGACCGTCCACGACGGCCCAATAAGCTGCCATGATAGGCCTCGAAAAGCCCGCGAGGCTTTCGAGAGGGGCCGAAGTCAACCCAACAAGACCCTAAACTCTCCAACTCATACCAAAGAACAACCCAATCATAGTGTTGCAATCCCACCTGGGATCCCTGTCGAATCTGCGGCAGGAGAGAGGGGCGAAAAAACAGATTGGGGCTGGATTGGGACGACGCCAATGAAGCACTCAGCCTTTTCGCATTTTCGGCTTGCCGAGGCTCCGCGACGGCCCAAGAGAGTTCCAATGCGGCCGAAGAGCCGCCCAAGATGGCCCCGAGAGGGGCCCCAGAAAAAGGAGGCGCGAACCGAACATTCAAAGCCGCTTGCCCGAAGAGGCGCCCAAGCGGCCCCGACAGGTACCACAATAATCTCCGAGAAGCCACGCGAAGCGCCCAAGCGGGCCGCAAGGCGCCCAAGAGACCCCCAGGAAGCTTCAAAGCTGCCAGCAAGACGCTTCCGAGAAGCCAACCAAGGGGCCCCCCAACGAAAATCCCACAGGTGCTCGTGCAACACCAAGGCACGGCGGCGGGTGGGGCCGCCGGCTTTGCCTGGCTTTTAGGTGTACTAGAGCTGCTGGGGCTATACGGCTATTGCGCTATAGAGCAATAGGGCTACTGTTCCCACGGGGGGCATGATCATCCAAGCTTTGCGTACTGGAGCGGCACGCTGTGCATTGTGCTCAAACCGCCCCGGCTGCACAGAACTCGCGCGAGCAAGTCGCCGACGGAACTATGGGCGAAAAGGTGATCTAGCGGCGAAAGATCCGCGAGCGGGCGCGGCATGCTGTGCGGCGCACTCAAACCGCCCCCACTTCACGATACTCCCATGACCAGGTCACTGCCGCCCATCCCCTTGCGCCACCCGCAGCCCGCGGGCCTCGCAGTCGCCGCGGTCCCACGAAAAGGCATGGTCATCCAAGCTTTGCGCGCCGGAGCGGCTACTGTGCAGCGCGCTCAAGCCGCCCCGGCTGCACAAAACTCGCGCGACCGAGTCGCCGTCGAAACTATGGGCCCAAACGTGATCCAGCCACGGAACATCCTCGAGCGGGAGCGGCATGCTGCGCGGCGCACTCAAACCACCCCCACTACACAAGACTCCCATGACAAGGTCACCGCCGCCCATCCCTTTGCGCCACCTGCAGCCCGCGGGCCTCGCAGTCGCCGCGGTCCCACGGGAGGCATGATCATCCAAAGTTTGCGCGCTGGAGCGGCATGCTGCGCAGTGCACTCAAACCGCCCCGGCTGCACAAAACTCGCGTGACCAAGTCGCCGTCGGAACTATGGGCCCAAAGGTGATCTAGCCACGGAAGATCCGCGAACGGGAGTGGCATGCTGTGCGGCGCACTCAAACCACCCCCACTACTCGAAACTCCCATGGCCAGGTCACCGCCGCCCATCCCCCATGCGCCACCTGCCACCCGCGGGCCTCGCAGTCGCCGCGGTCCCACGGGAGGCACGATGATCCAAGCTTTGCGCGCTGGAGCGGCATGCTGTGCAGCGCACTCAAACCGCCCCGGCTGCACAAAACTCGCGCGACCAAGTCGCCGACGGAAGTATGGGCGCAAAGGTGATCTAGCCACGAAAGATCCGCGAGCGGGCGCGGCATGCTGTGCGGCGCACTCACACCGCCCCCACTACACGAAATTCCCATGACCAGGTCACCGCCGCCCAACCCCGTGGCCACCCGCAGCCCGCGGGCCTCGCAGTCGCCGCGGTCCCACGAAAAGGCATGGTCATCCAAGCTTTGCGCGCTGGAGCGGCTGCGGCTGCTGTGCAGCGCGCTCAAGCCGCCCCGGCTGCACAAAACTCGCGTGACCAAATCGCCGTCGGAACTATGGGCCCAAACGTGATCCAGACACGGAACATCCTCGAGCGGGAGCGGCCTCCTCCTCCTCCTCATTTTCATCCTCCTGCTCCTCCTCCTGCTCCTCCTCCTCCTCCTCTTCCTCCTCCTCCTCCTCACCCTCGTCCTCCTCCTCATCCTCCACCTCCTCCTCATCATCATACTCCTCTTCCTCCTCATCCTCCTCCTCCTCATCCTCCTCCTCCCCCGCATCCTCCTCATCCTCCTCCTCCTCCTCCTCCTCCTCCTCCTCCTCATCCTCCTCACCCTCCTCATCCTCATCCTCATCCTCCTCCTCATCCTCCTCGTCCTCATCCTCATCCTCCTCCCTCCCCCTCCTCCTCATCCTCCTCCTCCTCATCTCCTCCTCCTCCTCCTCCCCCTCCTCCTCCTCCTCCTCCTCCTCCTCCTCCTCCTCCTCCTCCTCCTCCTCCTCCTCCTCCTCCTCCTCCTCCTCCTCCTCCTCCCCCCCCCCTCTCCGCATTGCGGAACTCGGAGTAAGCGTGCCCTGGGGGAGGGGGGGCTCAGCCAGGCGCGACGTCGAGGCTGGCACGCGCAAGCCCGATGGCGACGAGTCTGGGCACTGATAGCTAATCTAGGAGGGGGGGGAGGAGGAGGAGGAGGAGGAGGAGGAGGAGGAGGAGGAGGAAACGACGTAGTGGCCCACCGCTTTCGCCAACCCAGCTGTCGAAAACTCGCATGGTGCCGTGCGCGGCCAGCTACTATACATTCCTCTTGGATCCGAAGTGCACGTTCGACGAACCAAAGCTGTGGAATTTAGCGAAGAGATTATGCTGAGCACGTTGGGACAATCTTGGGAATCATGGGATGGGGTATGTGATTTGGTCCGCGGAGTACCCTGGCTGGGATGCTCCGCGGACCAAATTGGCCAGCCGACAATGCTGTGTAAAAAAACAACAACTGTGGCGGTCACCCACCAAACGCCGCGCCCTTTAACATTAAGGTTGGAGAGATTACGAGCCAGTAGAGCTGCCGCAGTCCGGACGTGCCAGGAGGAGCGGAGGCGTGTGAGATGGGGGGGGGGGGGCGTCGCCCATCCGAGGGAACGGACGCGCCCCCCCCCTCTCCCACTGAGGATTCCCGCGCAGCGGCCCCTTGCTCACTCATCCAGGGAAAGAGAAGGGCATGGACGCATTTGATGTTCAGTTCAAAACCCAACCCAAGAACTCGATCCCTTGGACAGATATCAAACCTCAACCGAAAAATCGATCCCTTGGAGCTCAAACGCGGCACGTAAACCAGGGAGCCGAAAACCCGAAGAAAACATGTTCGTCGCCTATGCCCCCGCGCGGCCCGATAGCCCCCAACCGTGACCTGGTTCCATCCAGGCCTACAGGTGGGCGCCCTATCGGTCGCGCACTATGGGAGGTTGGAGGTTCGAGAGTTTTCTGGCCCTCGGTCCGCCTGCGCAAAATCAAGAAACAGGAGAGAGATTATCTTAACATTTACGTCGCGTCAGTGTCTCATTAACAGTCACATATACCGAGATTCCTCTACCAACCCCCTTGGGTGCAGGGTTTACCCTCCCGCCCCCCTTCCCTAGAACTGGACGCGGCATGCCACGAAGGTTGGGCGCCCCACATATCCTAAGAAAGAACTAAGAGTTGAGAATAAACTACAAGACGTCCGGGCTGGACACAGAGACCTGGTGAATGCAATGCTACACTGGGCCTGGAAAGTGGCATGAACTTACCCAGTGGCGTGCGGCAATTCCGGCCTAGGGGCGACCGCGTTCCAAGTACTTCCTCAATATTTGCCATACTCGCTGAGCCCATTGAGCTAAACAGGATGTTGTCGAGTGCGCAGGGGGCATCGGCGCAATCATACTCAATGCTGAGCAAAACAGTTCGATGTTATGATGAAGCGAAATCCCACCAGCCCTCTGGGCGTAGGTGGTCTAGAGCAGATCCTCTTCCCCCTTGGGGGGGGGTTTACCCCTCCCCCTACCCCCTCCCCTGGACCTGGACGGGGGGGGCCGCGGGTAGTTAGAGCGTCCAAGATGGCCCAAGACGGCTCCAAGAGCGCCTCAGAGAACCCAAGATGAGCTCCAAGATGGCTCAAGATAGCGCAAGATCGCTCACGATGGCTCCTAAGATGGTTCCAAGAAGCCCAAAGACGGCCCCAAGATAACTCCAAGTGGCCAAACAGCTCCCCAAGGAGGCCCCGAAGAGGCCAAAATCGTCCCAAAACCTAAGGAAAATCAATGATTTTTGCTTTCTCGCCTTTTCGCTTCCGATGGCCATCCGAGGCCTGGAGATGGCTCCAAGATGGCCCAAGAGGGCCCCAAGAGAGCCCCAAAAGAGCCCCAAGACGGCCCCAAGAGCGCCCAAGAGCACTCCAAGAGCGTTCCAAGAGGGGTCCAAGAGGCGATTTTAGGGGCTTCCGAGGGGGGGCGCTAATTAAACCCCCCCTCTTGTTTGATCGACTCCCTCCAAGATGGCCCCAAAAGCGCCCCGAAGGCTCCCCAGAGCGCCTCAAGAGGGTCCCAAGAGGCGCCCAAGATGCCCCAAGGCGCCCAAAAAGCCCTCCAAGAGGCCCTCAAAAGACCCCCAAGAAGCTCCTTCCCCTCCTCCTCCTCCTCCTCCGATTCTTCCTCCTTCTCCGTCCTCCTCCTCCTCCTCCTCCTCCTCCTCTCCTCCTCCTCCTCCTCCTCCGACGACGACGACGACGACGACGACTCCTCTTCCATCCTCCCCCTCTCGGGGTCTGTGACAGCTTCCCCCGCCCTTTGTTATTCTGCATGCTCCCCGACTTCCCTGATCACCTCAACTCCCCTGAGCATCGTTTCTGGATGGGCTGGTGGGGATACGCGAAGCGTCAACAATTGTAGAATACACATCATGAGCCTGCAGGTGAATGCACCGTTCATGGATTACCACTCCGCACGTCGTAACTTGGAAATCACCAGCCACCGTGCCCCAAGGCACGTCGGGGCGTGCTGGCATGCCGACTACTGTCTCGTAGGGTTTCCGTATGTCCGCTAAGGACCCCCCTCTCCTCACACTCTCTTGCATACATCGGCGCCCCTCCGGAGGCCAGAACATTCATCGAAAAGTACCACCGACTCACACTCCCGAAGCCGCAAATCTTCGTAGGATACGAGAGATCCGCGCCCCCTACCAAGATGGTTCCAGGACCGACCCAAAATAACTCCAAGCCGGCCTGACTTGGCGTCACGACGGCCAAGGAGGAGGGGGAAGGAGGAGGGGGATGGGGAGGAGGGCGAACAAAAGGACCAGAAGCCTCTTGGGTAGGTGTCGGATTATCGTCGGCTGTCTCTTGGAAGCACATTGGAGGCCTCTTGGGGCGTCTTGGGGGCCTCTTGGCGGCCCCGGGGGCCTCTTGGGGCGTCTTCGGCGCCTCGGAACGCCTCTTGGGAGCCTCTTGGGGCCTCTTCGGGGCCTCTTGGGAGCCTCTTGGGGGCCTCTTGGGGCGTCCTGGGCGCATCCTGGGCGCATCATGGGGCCCTCATGGGGCCGTCTTGGGCCTCTACTGGGAGGTTCTGGGGGGCGCCGCGGGGAGCAAGGGGGCGGGCGGGGCACGGAGCAGATGGGGGCCCCCTCCTCCTCCTCCTCCTCCTCCTCCTCCTCCTCCTCCTCCTCCTCCTCCTCCTCCTCCTTCTGGGGGGGGAGGCCGACGAGCTGGATGGGAGGAGGCGGCGAGGAAACAGGGAATGGCGGATGGGGGGGCAGGTGCACCGAAGGAGAGGAGAAGAGGCTGCCCAAACGGCGCTGGGGTAGATGGGAAGGATGGTCGCACCGCATCGCCGGTGCATCGGCGCGGTATCGGCGACGTGACGCGATCCTCTGACCCCGTCTACTTAGGCCCCACCTGGGCGACCTGGACAGGTGGACTGGAGGAGAGGAGAAGAGGCGGGCGGCAGTTCCACATGACATGAGCACCCGCTCGTTCTAAGCCGAGCCTGGGGACTATGATGATTATGACGATGATTACGATGATGATGATGGATGGCGGTGATGGTGACAATGTGTATTATGATGATGTCAGAGAAAATGAGAATGAGACGGCCACGCAGAAGACCTGGCACGAAAACTACTCGACCGGCTAGTCCGTATCGACACCACTTGCGGCCGCTATGAACCGACGAAGGGGGGGTGGCTGCTAGTCCTGGCGCGTCTCAAAAAGACCAGCCGAATTCCGCATACGAGGACGAGGAGGATGAGGAGGGGGGAGTAGGAGATAGAGGAGGGGGGGGAGGACGAGGAAGAGACGGAGAAAACGGAGAATAATGAGGAGGGAAGACGAGGAGAAGTCCGCGGGCCCCCTTGTGGGGCCACCAGGCTGTAGGACGGAGTTTGCTGATCCCTGCGCCAGTTGCAGGTTCCAGTTTCCACTGTGACAGTTCCCCTTACTGCTTCCTACTGTGAATTGTTACTGAACGCGCGAGGGGGGGGAGCCGACAAGGGCCCGGATTACCACGCCCCTCAGGGAAACTCCGAATTCCTGCGGGGTCGTGGGACACGTAAAAAAAATTGGAGTCGCGCCCGCGAGGCCATAAACCCACGTCAATTACGCAATAGTCGTGCCCCTGGGGCCATAAACCTTAAGAAACTACGCAATATTCGCGACCCCGAAGCCATAACCCCCCGACAACCATCGGGACAGCCGCCAAAAATCAACCTAGGGTGCAAAACTGCTTCCCGGGAAGGCCACCGAACCTCCGAGGGCCCACACCTTGACAAAATCACGTCGTCGGACGTTTGGGAGAATGGAGGACATGTTTTGCACGAGGAAGAGAGAGAAAGAGAGAAAGAGAGAGAGAGAGAGAGAGAGAAAAAAAAAAAAAAGACAGGGAGAGAGAGAGAGAGAGAAAGCACATCAACCGCACCCCCCCCCCCTCCCCACCCCACCCCACCCGCCCTCCCCCCCCCGGCTACCCCACTACCACCGCCGCAACACACTCCAAGAGATGCATCCAAGAGCACTCTCAGAGAGACACTCCGGGCCCATATTCAACGTCCATCGCGCGACCGTTCGAGTCTCAACGCACTTCCCGTGATGAACGCGCCGTCCAATTTTTCGCCGTCCAGGAGCCCCCGAAACCGCGACAAACCACCGGACGTCGTCCGGGAGCCCACGAAACTCAACCCACCAAACGTCGCCCCCACCAGCCCTATGGGCGTAGGTGGTCTAGACTTTCCTCTTCCATGCCCATTCTACCACCTTCCCTGAACCTGGACGGGGGTGGCCGCGACGCGTTGGAGCGTCCAAGATGGCCCAGGCAGGCTCCAAGAGGGCCTCCGGGAGTGCAAGATGGCCTCCAACATGGGCCGATACAGCGCATGATCGCTCAATATAGCTTCCAAGATGCTCCAAGAGGCCCCAAGACCGCTCCAAGACGACTCCAAGTGAGCAAAGAGTTCCCCAAGGAGGCCCCCAAGAGACCCAAACCCTTCGAGCACGTAAAGAACATCTATCATGAGCGCATTCTCTTCCATTCGCGTTCGATACTCTTCCGAGGCTTCAAGATGGCTCCAAGATGGCCCAAGAGGGCCCCAATTGAGCCTTCTGGGCGCCTCGTAGTGCCATCTTGGAGGAGATCGATCAAAGAAAGGGAGGGGCGAAACAGCCTCGCTCCTCTACCCCCATTCTCCGGAACAATCCAAGAGTCCTCAAAAAGCGCCCACAACAACCCAAGAAAGCCCCAATACGGCCCAAGCAGGCTCCAAGGCGGCCCCGTGGAGGCCCGTCCGACTGACGTATCGGATACGCGCAGAAGTGAGACAGCAGCCTGTCACTTATCGGAGAAGCCCATGGCGCACAAACATCCATGAACTTCTTTGGGGTCGGCGGCAGAGGCGGCAGCCTTTAAATTGAACCCTTCACTTCGGTTATCCCCTATTGTCTTGAATGGGGGCGGCTGGTCGGTTCCAATGCAATGAAATTCATTAGCAGGCTTCTTGCGCAAGGTCTTCCCAAACTCTGCAAAAATTTCAGCCGCATCGACCTTATGGTTGTCAATTGGATCATTGATTGGATCGCAGAACAAGACTGGCACCTTCACATCTTTCGCGTACATCGTGGCGGAGATGCGCTCGACAGAGAAATTGACGTCTGGATCATTGGCCTTCAGCAGTCCCTGTTCGATATACTGCGCTTGCTTAGTGGCGAAGACCGGATTCACTGCTGATGCGTCAAGCTTCATTGTGCCGATCATGTGCTTGAGCTGGAAAAGATTAGTGGTGGCCCATGCAATGACATTCTTGAACTTGTCTGGGTACAGCGAATTCGCTTTCAAGAAAGACAGGCCTGAGGCACAAAACGGCAACAAGAATACCTTGCAATCCTTCAGGGTGTCGTGATGATTCACAAAGTCCATGACACCAGCGGCATCCCTATACTCTCGGGGTCCAACAAAGGGGGGGGGACCCTGAGGGGGGGGTGAGGTCGATCCGCTGGTGCGTCGAATTTCCGAAAAACGTTGTCCCCCCCGCGCCCGGATTGTTGACGCCTCTCGGGTTCTGGCGGCGGCCGGAGACCTCGTTTTGCATAGTTTTTCTGCGGTTCGATGCGCCAACGGACCGAACTTCCCCCCCCCCCTGTGGCACCCCCCTCCTTTGCGAGGTCCCGACATTCAATCTCGCCATCCGCCATCGTGGCTTGTGCACGCTGGGGCGCGTTAGAATGGTCCTCTGCTGTCTGGCGAACTTTCTTAGCGCTTCCCAGGGCCAAGCCAACCCCATGCTAGGCCTGCGCGCGCCCACAAACAATTGCAATCCCTCTCCAGAGCCGAGCTTGGGTAATCGTCCACCCTGCTAGCCAGCGTGGGCCCTAGACAGCAAGTCATTGCCATCTATTTGGGGCGAACCACGTGGTGCAGGGTACGTGTGTGGTGCGAGCAAGAAGCTGCAAAGAAGCGGTGGCGGACGGCAACGTGGCCGAAGCTGACCAGCCCCGCCAAGCCTACGCACCAGACGGCAACGTGGCGGCAACGTGGCGGCAGCGATGCGGACACGGGCGGCAACGTGGCGAAACCTCGCCAGACCAGCCCAGCTCTGGAGGCGCCAACGGGGCGGCAACGGGCGGCAACGACCCAGCGCACGCGGCTTCAACCAGGAAGCAACGGGCGGCAACGTGGCGAAGCCTCGCTGGACACACCCGGCTCACGAGGTGGCGAACACTTCGCGGGACCCACGCAGCGCACGAGACAGCAACGAGGCGGCAGCGATGCGGCAACGTGACGCTGGACCCACCCAACGCACGAGGCGGCAACGAGGGGGGAACCCGCGTCAGACCCACCCAGCGCACGAGACTGCTGCAACGAGGCGGCAACCTGGCCAAACCTTGCAGGATCCACCCAGCTCACGAGGCGGCAAAGAAGCGGCGACAGGCGGCAACGTGGCAAAACCTCGCCGAACCCACCCACCGCACGAGACGGCACCGAAGCGGCAAAGAGGCGAAAACGTGCGGCAACGTGGTGAAACCTCGCCAGACCCACCCAGCGCACCAGACTGTTGCAACGAAGTGGCACTGGGCGGCATCGTGGAGAGACCTCGCCGGAAACACCCAGCTTGCGAGGCGGCAACGAGGCGGCAACGGGCGGCAACTTGGCGAAACCTCGCCGGACCCACCCAGCGCGGCAACGAGTCGGCAACGGGCGCCAACGTGGCGAAACCCATACCAAAACCACCCTGCGCACGAGGCGGCAACGAGGCGGCAACGAGGCGAAACCTCGCCGGACCCACCCAGCGCACGAGGCGGCAACGAGGCTGCAACGAGGCGGCAAACGGGCGGCAACGTAGCGAAACCTCGCCGGACCGACCCAACGCGCGAGGCGGTAATGAGGCGGTGACGGGCGGCAACGTGGTGAATCCTCGCCGGACCCACCCAGCGCGGCAACGAGGCAGCAACGGGCGGCAACGTGGCGAAACCCATGCCAAGACCACCTGGTGCACGAGACCGACCCACCTAGCGCACTAGACAGCAACGAGGCGGCAACGAGGTGACAAACGGGCGGCCACGTGGCGAAACCTCGCCGGACACACCCAACGCACGAGGCGGCAACGAGTCGGCAACGGACGACAACGTGGTGAAACCTGGCCCGACACACCCAACGCACGAGGCGGCAACGAGGCAGCATCGGGCGGCAACGTTGCGAAGCCTCGCCGGACCCACCAAGCTCACGAGGCGGCAGCGTGGCGGCAACCTCGCCAGACCCAGCCAGCGCGGCAACGAGGCGGCAACGGGCGGCAACGTGGCAGACCCGCGCCAAGACCACCTGGTGCACGAGACGGCAACGAGGCGGCAAACGGGCGGCCACGTGGCGAAACCTCGCCGGACACACCCAACGCACGAGGCGGCGACGAGGCGAATTCGGGCTGCAACGTGGTGAATCCTCGCCGAATCTACCTTGTTTACGAGGCTGCAGGGAGGCGGCAACGGGCGGCAACGTGGCAAAACCTCGCCGGACCCACCCAGCGCACGAGGCGGCAACGAGGCGGCAACGAGGCGGCAGCGTGGCGAAGCCTCGCTGGACCCACCCAGCGCACGAGGCGGCAAGAAAGCGGCAGTGGGTTGTAACGTGGCGAAACCTCGCCAGACCCAACGAATTCCTTTTGGAGACAAACATAAGCCCCTGAGCGCAAGTACTGCATGAGGAGTAAAACAAAAAGAGAACGCAAAGAACCCCCCGCGAGGGGGGGTCAAAACAAGTCACCCAGAGGGTGGGGTCAAAACAAGCCTAGCACACCAAACACAGCAACAGCAGCAGAACCACACACGCAACAAACATACAACCCAAACATCTCTACATCAAACAAACAGACAGCCCAAACAGTCCAAACAACACCCCAATACGGCCAAAAGCCCTCCAGAGCGGTCCCAAGACTACCCAGGAAAGCCTCCCCAAGATGGCCCGAGCTGGCTATAAGACAGATGAAGAGGCTCTCAAGACGGCCAAATAGGGCTCCAAGAAGATGCTCAAGAGGCCCTCGAGAGCACACCCAATTGTGTTCGACCATCCTGCTGTGTTGGGTCCCCGCTTTGAAGCCGCAGCGCCACGCGACACTGCTGAGCCCTCATAACTTCTCCTGTTTCTCCCTCCTCCCCCCTCCTCTCTCCTCCTCCCGCCTCTTAGTTCGGCACCCCCCCTCGCACACCTCGTGACCCCATTGGGAGGGCCAACGAAAGCCCAAATGCCAGATTTCACATGAGTGCGCGCCTCTGCTCTTGGCACACCCATCGCACATTTCGGGGACCCAAAGGAGGCCCCGCCCTTCTCGTCGGCACACTCGTCGCCCGCTTCGTGGCCCCATGGGGAGCCCAAACTACAGCCGAGGCGCCAAATCTTACATGAGTGCCCTCCTCTCTTCCCGGCGCACGCCTCACACGCTTCGTGGCTCCATAGGGAGCTCCAGCAAAGATCCACGTGCCAACCTTCACATGACCTTCCCCCTCAGTGAAGAGGCCCTGGAACACACAAATCCGCCGATCCGGCGTGTGAGTTTCAAGGAGTCTCAGCTACAGCCTCGAGGCTGAGCCTCAGCCTCTGGGGGGGTTGCCGAGGTGGCTCTGCCGGGGAAGGGGGGATGGGGGGGGGGGCGAGTTTCCGGCGGATGCGGGGGGGCTGCTTTTACAGAAGGCTCTAATCTCGAGGATGCGCTAAAAGGGTGGCCGCGGCCGCAAAAGTCTCAAAGCGGTCTAAGAAAGTCCCGAGACCCCGAAAGATCGCCCGAACTCGCCCAAGATGGCCCCAAGACGGCCCAAGAGCCTTCCAAGACGTCTGAAGAGGCCTCCAAGAAGCCTCCCACGAGGGCCCCCAGAGGCAAAAATCGTGGATTTCCACTGTTGTGTTCAATGTTTTTTGGGGTTGTCGTTTTTTTCGGGTTTCCGACGCTCCAAGACGGCCGAAGAGGCCCCCAAGACCGCTCGAAGACGGCCCAGGAGGCCCCCAGACAGTCCCAAGACGGCCCAAGAGGGCCCCAAGGCGGCCCAAAAGCCGCCCAAGACGGCCCAAGAGGCCCCCAAGACGGCCCCAAGAGGACCCAAAAGAGGGACGAAAAGCGGAACAAATCTAGCCTTCCAGCCCACGAGGCCCCCAGGAGGCCCCAAGAGCCCCCAAGAGGGCCCCCCAAAGCCCACAAGAAGCCCCCATCGACGCCCTGACAGGCTCCTGTGCGAGTGTCTGTGTGTGGTGCGTGTCTGCGAATGTCTATGCGTGCTAGTGTCTGGCGTGCGCCTAGTGTGCCGCTGTATGTGTGTCTGCCGTATGTGCATTTGGTCGCGTGCGTGCGTGAGGTGTCCGCGTAATATGTGTATCCGAGCGACCCGGATCGGCGGCGCTGGCCGAAGGCCACTACAATAAATACACACAAATAACAGGATTCCCCATATTTTCTGTCTGGTAGTGCTCCATTCCCAACATTTTGAGCAAGAGAATCTGTCTCGAAGAACGCGGCACGGCGGGCGAAGTTCGGCCGGCAGCGAAAAGCAGCCGGAGGCGTGGCCACATGGCGGTCTGTGCTAAGCAGGGCGGCCACCACAAAAATGCTTCGGGGCTGAAAAGGACAGCGGGAAGCGCACTCGGATGGCGGAGGGCAGGCCACGGGTGCACTTGAGAAAATTCAAAAGTCATGGAGCGGCCCAGACAATACCGCGCAAGCACTCCTATGTCTGGTAGCGCTCCATGCCCAACATTTTGAGCAAGAGAATCTGTCTCGAGGAACGCGGCGCGGCGGGCGAAGCTCGGCCGGCAGCGAAAAGCAGCCGGAGGCGTGGCCACATGGCGGTCTGTGCTAAGCAGGGCGGCCACCACAACACCCCAAATCACTTCCCGAAACAAGAAGGTGTTCTCTGGTAACTAGCAGCAATGAGAGCGGCGGCGAGATCGCGGCACAAACCTGCAGGGTAAGGTTCGGCCACCTTTGTCCACGGGATGCCTCTGCTGGGGCGTGGGCCGCTCAATTCGATATGTGGGCGGCCGCTAAAAAAACAACAACATCCTTTTCCACGGCAGAGGCGGTTGCGCAGAGGATCTAGACACGCATCATCTACGCTCCCAAACAAAAAATGGGTCCTCTTGCGCCACCGCGTTCCGTAGCTGCAGAAATCCAGTGAGACCGGAGCGGCAGCCCGTAGAGCTCGTCGCCGCAATGCAGGAATCTTCCACATCATGCTGCTATAAGGGTTTTCCAACAACCAAGGTATCTGATAGAAGTCTAGCGCACGAATGGCACGGAGGGTTGCCCTGAGCAGCTTGCTGCCGCGCTGTAGTGCGGCGTGATCATTGACACTGAATTCTGATCTGTCTGTAACTCCCCAGGGCTGTGACGAGGTTCTGATGAAACGAGTTCGCATTCTTCCTGTCGAGAAACTGGTACACTCCGTTGCGATCGCTGCACCAAGGATCAGACCATTCTTGGCATCCTCTTCCAGGCGGCGAATCACGGCGTGATCGGTGAGATCTAGGCTCTGGCTGTAGCGAAGATCCCAGAGTCGCGCAGAGTAACCACGGCGCGCAATTGCCTTCCCGACGCCGCCCTCGCCACAGAACAGGTCGGCAAAATGCTGGCGTTGATTCGCGGCGCCAAAAAAAACAGGGCGGCCGCGTGGTCGAAGCAGAGAGCCTCGAGTTACTGGTCCGCCTTTCGGGGGGCAGCCACCTGCCTAGGCAGCAGGCGGGGAGCAGAGAGGTTCAGCCCGGCGGCGTTCTGGTATCTCTTGAGCGAGCTCTTGCATTGCCGGCCGCCTGGCTTTTTCAGCTCCCTGTGATCGCCGCGGCGGTTCTGTAGGCCCAGCATCTCGTGGGTGGCCGCCCTTGACAGCGAGAACAGCAGCGCCCCCCAATCGTTCGAGCTCCCCTCTGCTGGCTGGATGAGATCCTGGCGCTGGATTGCGAGCGGCTCGCCTGGGCGGCGGTGCGCCACGATCATCCACAGGATGTGCGCACCCGTGAGCCAGCACCCTCGGCAGCAGAGGTCCCAGACGACAGCTGACCACACCACGCGGGCGACCGGGTTCCTTGAGCGCCGCTTGCATCTCTGGCGCCGCCCCTTCAGGCATCGCCAGGCCCGGCGGGGGCGCGATCTCCCCAGCTTGCCATGCTGGGGCTGGAGGTGCAGCAAGGCCGACAGCAGTGCGTCGCCCTTGTTCGAGTGATGGCCCGGCTCGCATAGCCCGTTCATGTAGTGCGCAAGCACGTCGTCCACCTCGCTGTCCACGACGAGCTGGCGCTCCTTGGCGGCGTCGATGAAAGTCTTGAGCTCTACCTGGTATTGCGCCTCTGTGCCCAGCCCCACCGCCGGGCGCTCCAGCGGCATGAGCCCCGCCAGACTGGGCGGCGCCTTGGCTTGGACGACTGCCCGGGCGTGGTGCCGGGCCGTCTGGCGGAGCTGACGGGTGCGAGCTGCCTCTGCCTCTTTGGCAACGGTCGTGGCGCCGCTGCCCTCGCCGTCGCCCGTCGGGCTGCAGTTCGCCTCTAGGTCGCGCGCCGCAGCCCTTGAGGCGGGCGGGGCCAGGGTGGGCCGCTGCCGCACGCTGTCCCGAGGCGCTCCCAGCGCCCGCGTCTGACTGGCTGGCGCCTGTGGCCCACTCGGCAGGCCCTCCGGCCCGGGCGACAGCACCTGCGAGCGCTTCGCAAGCGGCTCGGGCGCGGCATGCGCGGGCGCGCTGCCTCCTGCCGGCGGCGGCGTTGCCAGGCGGCGACTGCGCCCCTGACTGGTCGGCGGGCCAGACGCCATGGGCGCGCTGGTCGTCGCGCCCCCGATCGCCCACCGCCGCGGCGGGTCGCCGGGGCCCCCCCGCAGGGGCGCACTCGGGAGCCGAGGTGGCGACGGCGGCAGGCTGGCTCCCCTGGGGCTCGTGGAGGTCCTGAGGGTCTGGAGTGCCGGGGGTCTCGGTGGGCTCGTCGAGGGCCTGCGGGGCTGTTCTGGGGCTCGTGCTCGTAGTGGCTGAGGTACTGGTGAGGTCCATGACTGTGTGCTTGCTCGTGCTCTCATATTTGTCAAACTTGTCGTGCTTGCAGTTCTCCGTATCGACGTGCTTGCAGTAGTGCGTCGTCTTGGTGTGTGCATTGTCTTGCTCATGTACATGCAGGGGTAGCCTACGATTCGCTGGTACTTTGCCGTAGTCCTCAGAAGCCTCCCAAGAGTGCACCAGGGTCTTACCAGGGTCGCAGCTCGGGTCGCGCAGCCTAGAGCCCTCGTCACTCGGGTCGAGCTCGCTCGGGACCCACCTCACGTGCAGGCGCTTGTTGAGGGAGAGGCACAGGGCGACAGCCCGACGAATGCATGCGAGGACAGTAAAGTGTTTCGCTCTCCTCCTCTCAAAGCACAGCACTGCGGGCAGGTTGTCGCTCATGACGACGGCATGCTCGCCCTCTCGCGGTGACAGGCTGCACAATACCTCTACAGCTCGCAGGAGGGCACGTGATTCGTAGACCAGAATGTCTTCCGAAGTATTATGCCACCCACGGGCGACTATCTCAGTCCAGCGGGACCCTGAGAAGATCTCCACTGCCATCTCTTTGAAAGTTCTGTCAAGCCCCCACTGAGTCTGGGGCGCGACCTCGTCATGCTCACCAAGATCGGCGGCATCTTTGAACGTCCCTGCACTGGTCATCACGATGCCGTTGCTGGCGAAGAAGTGGGCCCGAGCGGAATGGCCGCCCAGGCGGCGGAAACGGGGTCGCCCCTGCGCCCGTCCGATCTCCCTCACAGCGGCCGGCTCGAACAGCGAGGCGCTCACCGCGTGGCCGTGCTCCGACGCGTCGGAGAGGCAGACCAGCGGGCGCCGCGGGGGCGTCCAGTCGCCGCGCAGCAAGGGCATCAGGCCTCGGAAGGCGACCATCTCGGCCCGCGCCGTGGGCCAGAGCGGCGCGGCCTCCTGGTAGTGGGCCGCTATGAACTTGCACATCGCATTGAAGACCGGGAGGATCCGGAGGAGGTCCCGGTTGCACATGGCGCAGCAAGTGCAATGGCCGAGGACGATCTCCCATGTCCAGCCTGGCAGGGCCCTGCAGCTCAGGGCCCACGAGACACCTTGTCGCGCCCGCCAGTAGCGTTTGGCCGTGAGCCCGGTGGTAAGCGAGACTCCGTCCAGCACGCAGCCCAGCGTCACGCCGCGGCCCCTCTGAATGTCCGTCTCGTGCGTCTTCAGGCCCGCGGCGTCGAACCTCGTGGCGGCGGCGGCGAGGCTCGAGGACACCTCTGCGCCGTCGAAGCCCATCACCCCGAGGTTGTCGACGTCCGTATACTGAGCGCCTCCTCCCTCGGCCAGCTGGGCCGACGGCCGAAGCGCTGTCGTCGGGCCCCGGTCGCTCATGCGGTGGGCCCGCTCCAGTCCGGGCGTGGCGTCCATGACGGCGTCGCCCACCTCCCGGCAGAAATAGAGCGACCAGGTGAACCCCATCGGCAGGGCGGCGCAGGCTGGCACCAGGCGGCGGTCGGGAGGCGCGGCGCCGCCCCCGATGGCCCTGCCCGTCACCCCGATCTCCTGCGCTGTCACGGGGCGGAGACAGACATAGGAGGAGAGCCCACGGTCGATCCTGAAACGATGGAAGGCGTCGCTGATGTCGGAGGTGCCCAGCGTGAAACCGAGGTCCGGCTGGCCACCGCACTCGACGCCCTCCACCTCGATGCGGGCGAGCCCCTCGGCTGTCACGAGCGACGCCCCAGGGGGCGAAGTGAAGTGCAGGTTGCTGCGCCGAGCGTCTATGATGAGGCGCAGCTGGTCTGACTTCTTGGAGACGAAAAAGACGCAGCTGGTCTGACTTCTTGGAGACGAAAAAGACCCCGACGTCCTCGCGCCGCTCACTCTCGCCCAGGAGCACCAGAAGGCCCTTGGCGTAGAGGGGCGCCACCAGGCGGACGTAGAGTCTGCGGTTGCGAGCCAGAGAAGGGTCCAAGTGAGGAATGGCATCGCACTCATCGAGGCGGCAACGTAAACTAGCCTCATCTAGAAGCATCCGAGAAAAACCGCCTTCGAGAAAATGGCGCGCATGGGCAGGGGCGGTGTCGAACGGCCGTGGCCCTCCCACCGCGGTCTTAGGTAAAGATATCTGCCCCACATTGCGAAGACGCCCGACGTTCCGTCCGGCCGACTCGTCGTAGACGCTGCGGCCGTGCAGCAGCTCAGAAAAGGCCGATCGCGGGGAAGGGATCGCGGTCCCCATCGGCGGCATGCACTCAGCCACGCACTCCAGGATCCGCGCGTGCACCTTCATCTGGTCAAAATTCGGCATGTCGCCTGTGGAGGTGCGGTTCATCAACCAATTCATGGCGTCGACGACCTCGTCGAAGTCCTGGCGGGCCCGCCTGGCGAGCCGAGCAGCCCCACGGCCCTGGAGCCGCGGCCAATCCCTCTCATGGTCGCTCAGCCTCGGCAGGGGGAACACCGACAGCAGGTCCACCCCGACTTCACAACTGGGCTGCGCGCTACCGGCGGGACGCCCAAACCCGCCGGCGGGAGCAGTCATGCCCCCTCGGGCGCGGTGAGCCTCCCACCGCGCCCGTCCAGCTCCATCTCCTCCTTGTTGCGGCGGAAGACTGCGGTCCGTCCTCAAGGCTGGGTCAGTCAGCTCCATCGGGCCTGCCACGCCCATGTAGCGCCGCAGCCCGCCCCACATCGGGGGCTGGTGGGGATCGCCCGAGTAGGCCTCGACGATCTGCGGCACACGAAGACACAACACTTCAATGCTGGCCATACTGGGTAGGTTGACCTGGTAGTAGCTTCCCGCGTGGAAGATCGATGTGAGCAGGCACTTCATCTCGATGTAGCTGCGGTCCGTCTGGCTCAGCTGGCGGCCCCCCGCCCACAGGTCCAACCAGAGCAGAAGGGGAGCCGCAGTTCTGCTCCCAGCGCTTCGCCATGTGCTCCACCGTGCTGAGGCCGTCCTCAAGCGGCCAGTCCTCGAACGTGTACTTCTTGGTCTCGCGGACGACCTCGCGCCGCGGTCTGCGACGGCCCCCCCGCTCGTCGTGCTGAACCCATAACGCCCCCACGTCATCGACCGACACCGCCTTGCGCGCCCCCCCCCGGGGGGGGCGCCCCCAGCGTGTCTCTCAGGTCCTGATCGCCAACGCTGGGGCCGGCGGCCTCGGCAGTTCCGCGCGCGGGGTCGGCCTCGCCGCCAGGCGGCAAAGCCGGCGGCGGCAGCGGCGGCCCCCCCGCACGGGCGTCGGCGGGCAGGTCCCTCTCGACCAGCCCGAGCAGCTCCCTCGGGCGCCTGTCTCCGAAGGTGTCCGCCGCGCCGACGGGGATTGCCTCCGCGAGCTGCCAAACGCCGACCTCCCTCACCATTGCGTGGTCGTCGTCCAGCCTGACACCGCTAGACTCTAGCACCACCTCGGATCCCGGACGAAAGTAAACCTCCGCGGCTTCAACCAGCGGCTCGTCACCAACGTGCACCTGCTGGTCAGTCCTCGACCTGAGCACGGCGGCGCGCAGCTCCTCCCATGTCGGCGGCTGCGCAAACCGGTAGGACGCGCCATGGGCCAAGGCGGGCGCCGTGCCACCCGGCACGACGGTGAAAGCCCTGTTGCAGCCGTCGCCGACCGCACCCGACACGTCGTCGGCGCACCAGTCGCCGCCCGGCGTCACCACCCACCAGTACATGCACCCCGCGAGGTAGAGCAGCACTCGCTTACGCCACACCGTGTCGCGTGGGTACCAGAGCCCGACTCGGCGCCCTGGCCGGAGTTCACTGCACCACGCCCCCACCCCGACGAACGTGCCGTCCGCGGCCAAGGTCGTGGGGCCGCGGCGGCGGCGGGGGAGTGGGGCGATCATTCCGACGGGCTCGGGCCGCCACGCAGCAGCACACCAAGATCACCGCCTCCCCGCAGGCGACCCCCCACGCCAGGATGAAGGCGAAGGGACAGCCCTCGCCCACGGTTGGGCCTGCCTCGGGCGCGGACGGCGCCGCACGGGCCTCCTCAGGCCCCAGGGGCGGCAGCCGCTCCAGCAGCGCCGCGGCCACCTCGTCGGCGGAGGGGCAGGTGGCCGGCGCCGGCGAGGAGTTCGCCGCCATCCAAGGCCCGAGCTCCTGCGCCACGGCCGCGGCCACCGCTCCGGCGCTGCGGCGAGTGGCACACGCAGGAAGGGCAGCTGGTCGAGGCGGCCACCAGCGCCGCCAGCCAGCTCGTTGCCCAGCGCAGCCCGGCCCAGGCAGCGGGCGCCCCCACCGCGGCGCTCACCGCGAGCGTGGCGGCGCCGCCCGGGGCCATGGCCCAGCCCCGCTCATGCACTTGAGAAAATTCAAAAGCCATGGAGCGGCCCAGACAATACCGTGCAAGCACTCCTATTCGAAGTTTTTGTCTTCCCCCCCACTTCCCATATTTTCCCATATTTTCTGGGGAATCGACGATTCAATGTGTCTGCGTGTTTCTTTCCCTCCTGACTCATTTCGGAGCATCCCTTCACGCTCCGTGGCCCCACTCCAGAGGAGCCTCCCCTCCTCTCTCATACCGGCACGCCCGTCGCACGCCTCGTGGCCCCATAGGGACCCCAAGCTGAGGCCCAAATGCCAAAGCTCAAGCGACCTCCCCCCTCTCACTTCGGCCCGCCCTGGGACCCAGAGAGAGCCCCAACTACGGCACACAAGTGCCAGAGTTCAGACGAGCTCCCGCCTCTCATTTCGGATCACCGCTCGCACGCTTCGTGGCACCACAGGGAATTCCAACAAAAGGCCCACATTCCAAAGCTCGCGTGAACTGCCGCCTCTCATTCCGGGACACCCCTTGACAAATGCGTGGCGCCATCGGGAGGCCCAACTGATCCCAAAAGCCAAAGTTCACCTGAATTCCCGCCTCTCATTTCGGCACGCCCCTCCCCATAAGAAGCCCCAACGAAGGCCCAAACGCAAAAACTCACATGAGGTCCCACCTTTCATGTCGGCACGCCCCTCGCAAATCTCGTGACCCCGCACGGAGGCCCAATTAATCCCAGAAGCCAGAGTCCACCTGAATTGGCGCATCTCATGTAGTCTCACCAGTCTCACGCTTCGTGGCTCCATAGGGAGCCCCAGCTCAGGCGCGAATGCCACAGCTCGCATGAGCTCCCACCTACCATGCCTGCACACCCCTCGCACGCTTCCTGGCCCCATAGAGAACCCCAACCAAGACCCAAATTCCAAAGGTCTCACGAACTCCCGCCTCGCATTTCGGCACACGCCTCGCACGCTTTGTGGCCCTGCCAGGAATTAAAGCCCAAATGCCAAAATCCGCCGACCCTGTCGGCGTGTGTGAGGGGCTTCTCCGTTCGACTTGTCGTCTCCGTCGTCTCCGTTCTCCCCCTCCCAGGGCTCTCCTCAAGCGCGCTATCCAAAGCGAAATTAGACGACGTCGTAGTGGAGTCGAAGGGAAGCCCCTTCCCTGTGATCCCTTCCCCGCAGGGGGGGGGAGGGGGGGGGGGGGCAAGCTAGGTGCGCTCGCGTCATATCTGACGTCCTACCCCTCCCTCCCATCCCTTACCATGGCGCTGATTTTCTCTATCCGCGGACGCGTGTCGTAGCGGACCTGTGGCTCCGCGCGCGCGTGCGTAGTGGGTGGTGGTGCGCGTGCGTGCGTGCGTGCGTGCGTGCGTGTGGTGGTGGTGGTGGTGGTGGTGGTGGTGCTGGTGCTGGTGGTGGTGTGGTGGTGGTGGTGCTGGTGCTGGTGGTGGTGGTGGTGGTGGTGGTGGTGGTGGTGGTGGTTGGTTGGTTGGTTGGTTGGTTGTTGTGTGTGTGTGTGTGCGTACGTGCGTGCGTGCGTGTGTGTGTGTGTGTGTGCGTGTGTGCGTGTGTGCTGTGTGCGTGTGCTGTGGCATGGCACGGGAAATGACGCCAGCGCTGCAGCGGGAGCACGAGTCGAAACGGGTGGAAGCGCGGAAATGAGGCCAGCGCTGCAGCGGGAGCACGATTCGGAACGAGCGGAAGCACGGAAACGAGGCCAGCGCTGCAGCGGGAACACGATTCGGAACGAGCGGGGCCCGAAAATGAGGCCAGCGCTTCAGCGAGAGCAGCATTTTTGAACAAAATGCGGGCGAAAACCCAACTCCCGGGAATCCTGTGTGTAAAAAACACGACGCGGGGGGGGGGGGTCGGCTACTCCCAGGACGCCATCAGGGGAAGAGGGATAATAGTATTCTGAATAGTTGTGGAGGAAGGGGGAAGAGCCGGGGCAGATACGACGCCCGCCGGGGCGCACTTTCCTCGAGCGGGCACGCACGGGATGCACTTCCTCCTCCTCCTCCTGGTCTTCCTCCTCGTTCTTTTCTTCCTCCTCCTCCTCCTGCTCCTCTCCTCCTTCTCCCCCTCCTCCTCCCCCTCCTCCTCCTCCTCCTCCCGCAGAGGCGCCCCGGGAGCGGGCCCCGAGTCAAAACACCCCCCCACCCCCGAGGGCGCATTTTCCGCGAGCGGGCACGCCCGAAATGCGCTTCTTCCTCTTCCGGGGGCACGTCCCAAGTCAGAATATCACGCTCCCGGGGCGCACTTTCTTCGAGCGGGCACACAAAGGATGCACTTCCTGCAAAACCCCGAGGAGGGTTCTGCACGGGAGCCCAGTGACAGCGATGACGATCGGTCACCTTTTTACTCCCGCACGGCGAAGCGAGTCTCGGTGGCTTCAGCCGTTAAACACTTGAGCCAAAGGTAACAGGGTCACCTTCCCTCCCCAGTCACCTGAACGCTTACATGTTAACACCCCCCCTCGGACGCTAGTCCGTATAGGCTGACGGGGAGGTGTCTACAAACGCAAAAACAGGTTATACTATGCAAAACGTTGCACGCAAATCATCATATTGCTGAATTCGAAATGTCTCGTGACTGCGCTTACGAGCACCAAGTCTCTCACACATGTAACCTGAGCTCGAGTAAACGCTTTTACTGTCACAAGTTCAAACGAAGCATCTAAAGTTTACACAGCAGGCTAGCATTTGGATGATTTTGATTGCTTTCGCTTTTTATTCGCCAATACCTGCGGCAACAACAAGAGATGCGCATGCAAACAAACTCAGCTCAACAAGCTACCACCACTCGATCGTTAAGCCAAGTTAAGAGGGGAGATGAGGAAGACCGTAAACTGCAGCATGCTGACTGCCTGCCGTCTTTCACGAACGGCGCGGGCGCCTCGCCGACGGGGCTCGTGAACCCCTCGACCTCGGTAACCCGCGGTGTCCCACGCTGGCTGCGGTGTAGGGCGACACCCTGTTAAGGGCCTGCATCGGGCTGTAGTAGTCGGTGTCCAGGTACGCGTTAATGCGCTCATCGTCGTCAAGCCAGCACCCCTCATCGTAACTCTTAATGGAGCCGTCAACGATGTTGTGGTAGGTGCCGAGGGCCCTCCAGTAACTGGCGTGGGGAGCCTTCAACAGAGGCCCACCGCCTGGATTGTTACGGAGGTGCTCTTCGACCGCAGCGCCGGTAAACGGGTTCACAGTCCAGGCCGGATCGGTAAGCCAGTTGGGGAAGTCGTCGCACGGTAACCAGCCAAACCAGCAAAGCTTCTCACGGTGATCGCTTTTACGCTCGGTGACATGATCGGCAGGCCAATTATCGCGGTAAAGTGCCCTCATGGATCCCTGATCGTTAAGGGCAACGTCCAAGATGGTCTGGTGCCAGTAGACTGGAGGCTTGTTGATACTGCCCTTTAACTCCTCGGTGCTCCTGACCTCGAGGTCGTCGATGAAGTAGTTGCGGTAATGCACCTGGAGCCCGTTCATGTAACGGCAGTAAAGCTTGGCGAGATCGGGCGTTGCAAAGCGAATCACGGTAACTCCAGTCGAGATGTAACCGTGCGGCCCACGGGTGTCCTCCACCAGGTGCTTAACGGAGATCACGGTGGGGTTGCCGTGGAGCAGCATTCCTGCCCACGTTAAGAGGAGACCGTTAAGCTGCTTCTCGTTCATCTCCGGCACCTTGTTGACGTACACCTGCGTGTCCGGGCAACTGTGGAGCTCAAACCACGATGGGTGAAGCTCGTCAACGTGGAGTGGTGGCACGTACTCATCGTCAAATAGGGACTGTACGTGCCCAACCGCGTCAACCCATTCATCATGCTTGGTCAACTCTTTCTCCGTTAATTGAGATCTCCAGCTGCTCGGACCTTTCAACACGGCATAGCCGATGAAACCGTAAGCATGTTGGCCAAAGATGTCAACGAACACGTCATCGTAATCGTTAAGCTCCCGCCCTGTGTCGCCCTGAATAGACCTGCCGCCAGGGGTCGTTAACCCCGCCTTCGCCACGTGCCCGACGAAGTTACCCTCAAACCTGCGCCAGTTGTCACGTGTCTTCATCGTTAAGGCTACCACTTCCCTGGGGTCAGGTTCCGCCCGATAGTTAACGTCGTAGTCGTCGCTCCCGTCGTTCAGCATGGGCATGCGACCGTTGACGTGGTACAGCGGGCGGTGCACCGCCTTGGCGACGGTCCTGGAGTATCCCGCAAGCTGATCATCCGTGCGGTTAACGACTTGAGGCTGTGGTGGCGGGACGCGCTGGATCGGTAACCTCTTGGGCTCTGGAGGCGGGGGCTTCATGCCGCTAACGCTGCTTGCCGCTCTGGGCTCGCCGAGCCCCGGAAAGGGCGGCTTGGCCGGCCTCGCGTTTACGGCGGGGGCAGGATCCTTTGGTACCTCATCGCGTTGACCACCAACCGTTCGATCCTCGTCCATCTTCACGCCTATCTGCATCAATTCTTGCAGCTCCCGTTTACGCTCATGCATGGCCTTCGGCGCCCGCTTGTAAACAGGCTGTGGCTCTTCGCCGCCCTGCCGGCTCAGCGTTGACGGTCGGATCTTGTTCGGCGACGCGGACCGTCGACTCCCCCCGGCTTTAGTGGTTGCGCCGGCCAGGTCCTGAGTCGGGGGAGCTTTGCCTGATGGAGCCACGTTAACCTGCTGCACTGGGGGCGCGCCCGTGGCCATGGGCCCGACTGCCGCGGCGACGGCAACGGGCGGCGCCTTGGCGGGTGCTGCCGTCGGGGGCAACTCAGGCAACGGCGG